ATGCCATCTGAACCTCAGATCCATGCTCTTCTAATTCTAAAATTCTCTTATTTTTCACAGAAATTTTTCAATGTCAGTTGTAATTTCTCCCATATTAATGGGAGAAATTGATTTCATTCCATGTCTTAACATAATTATTCTCATACAATATACAATTAAATTTTGTCATAGTAATACATAAGTATTTCATTTTTTTCACAACCTTAAAACCAATTTATATTAATTCTTTTTTATTTTCATATTGCTAACACCTTCACTTTTTGATTATTAATTTTAAAACCAGCTAACAGCACACAATCTTTTAGTTTTTCCATGAATATCTTTATTACTTCCAAAGTTACCATTATCATTATTGCCTTTAATATTACATTTCTACAAGCAGAAAACAACCTCATTTTTGTAGGTTACCCTAGAAGTGTTTCTTGGCTAATGAATAGGACAAAAATTCTTTAAATAAATAACCCCCCTCCCTTTACCATTAATATAATGGGAGAATTCTGGAGTCACAATGTTTCCTGATGATCTGTCCCTAAGTGTCCGAAGGAACACTGCTGGCATTTAGTAAATAGATGAGTGTTTATGATGTTTGAATGAGTGTGTGGAATAAGTTACTGTTTTAAAAACCTTTCCATTTATTTTTCCTCAAATTAACCTAAGAGGTTAATTTGCAACATTAACCTCTTAAAAGAGTGAACCAGTTAGACAGGTTTTTTTCGTTAGACAACAATATGACTTAGGGAACACTGGCTGAAAAGATAGCTGTTCTCCTTTTTGAGATTACTTGAAAGATATTTTTCAATTTCTTTGATGTAATTAATGATGGTAGGAAGTCTTTTATTTTGTAATAATTAAATTGCAATTTAATGTCCCCATTATGAGTTGTAGTGGCACAGTGGTTAGAATGAAGTACTGCATACTTCTGCTGAATGCCGGCTGCCTGCAATTTGGTAGTTCAAATCTCACCAGGCTCAAGGTTGACTCAGCCTTCCATTCTTCCGAGGTGGGTAAAATGAGGACCCAGATTGTTGGGGGCAATATTCTGACTCTGTAAACCGCTTAGAGAGGGCTGTAAAGCACTGTAAATACCCTATATACGTCTAAATGCAATTGCTATTGCTATTTCAAATATTTCTGAGTACCTTCTATTTTGAAGATAAATTATTCCTACCTTTGTAAAAAATAGTCCAGTATAATAGTCCAAAATTTCTTTTTTACATTTGCATTTTTTAAACATAAATCTGTATCTTTGATACTCTTGCTTAAGAAAGATGAGTATTTTTTTTAAAAAAAATTGATTTATATGCCGCCCTTCTCCAGAGACTCAGGGAGGCTTAAAATGCGTTAAGCATTAGCCTTCATACTTTTGTATATTTATACAAAGTCAGCTTATTGCCCCCACAAACTGGGTCCTCATTTTACCTACCTTAGAAAGGATGGAAGGCTGAGTCAACCTTGAGCCTGGTGAGATTCGAACTTACAGTAATTGCAGACAGCTGATGTTAATCACAATGCTTTTAGTCTGCTGAGCCACCAGGTATTTAGTACAGATAAGTTTAAATATTTATCAATATTTAGTTATGTTTGGAATACATGGTCATAATAAATGGACTACTCTATCTTGTTCCTAGTCACAGGTTCTGTCAAAGCCATTTCTACTTCTCATGTTGATTCCTTGACTATGTTGTACATTTGTAATAGTCAAACTCTATATAGTTTTGAGATTGATCATATAGTTCAGCTATCCTTTGTGTGCACATTCTAACTTATACTGGTTTTTTTTTAACAGAATATGTAATGCAGTCCAAATACCATATAATTTCTTAGATATTCTCACAATTGTTTAAAAAGTGTTAGAGGAGTTTTGAAAAAATATATATTTATTATGACTATAGTATACTTCAACCTTTAACTAGCTCTTGACAATTACTAGTTACAAGAAACTTGGCAGGACTAGTTCCTGTAGTTCTGTTGGTAAGGTTTTTTTTGGAAGCGGTTTGCTATTACCTGCTTTCTATGGCGCAAGAGAAAGTGACTGGCCCAAAAGCCCCCAGCTGTCTTTGTACCTAAAACAGGATTAGAATTCATGGTCTCCTAGTTTTAGACTGATGCCTTAATGTGGCTTTCAATACAGACACCATACTAAGCCATAGTAAGGGTGTACTTTGATTAGTGTATTATTTGAATCCAAGCATTGCCTCAGGTTTATTGTATTTATTGTGTTTATTATATCATGTTATATCAATCCAATGTATCATGTCACATTAAATAATGTGATTAAAACAATATGTGAAGCCAGCCATTTTTTAAAAATGGTTGTTCATGAGCTGATGTTCATCAGAGACATCCTGGTGGCAGGTAAGCCCATTTACATAGAATGACTTTTAAGTATCCCTGAGGTTGTTGATGACATTATTAGGCATAGAAGGTATAGAAGAGAGTTGACATTTGAGTGTTATGGACAGTCTTTGTTTATATGTTGCATGTTTGTGGCTGTCTTGGGCTGTGAAAGTTGTGAAAAGGAAGCATTGCTGGCCACGTTGGGCTATAGTACAGTTATAGTTTTCTTGAATGGTTTTAGATAAGAGCTGTTTGCAGCATAGTAATAAACACTGAGTGTCAAGGTTTTTTTTAATGTAAGTCCTATAATAAATTCTTCCTAAGTGGCTGTCTGGCTTTGCGCATACTTTTTTCACTACAATTCCACCCAAGGAATTTTTTAATTAGAAGAAAAAGCATCTGTTAGGGCATCGGGTGACAGATTATTTTCCCTTAAAAGCCTTTTAATATCCCTTAATAATCAGAGATAGAGTGCTTCATAGGAATGATGATAGATTTCTGGTTAGTACCAAAGGGATGATAATTCCCTACCCCAAAATACTTGAAAAGTCCATATCAAATACTTTATACTCTCTGTGTTTGGCATTGAAAGAACTCTGAAGAATTCAAAATATAGGGTTTGTAAGATAACTAAAGAACTGGTTTCATTTTTGCTGTCGTGATACTTTAAATAAAAAATCTAAAAAAAATAACACCAAGTTCCAAATGCAGGAATATTGATTATAAAACAGGATATGCTTGCTTGTTGGAATGCTACCTTAGATAATGCAAGTGATCCTTGACATACGACCACAATTGAGCCCAAAATTTATGTTGCTAAGCGAGATCTTTGTTAAGTAAGTTTTGTCCCATTTTACAAACTTTCTCACCATCGTTAAGTGGAATCATTACAGTTATTACATTAATAACAGGGTTGTTGTTAGTGAATCTGGCTTCTCCATTGATTTTGCTCATCAGAAGGCCACAAAATCTGATTACATGACCCGGGGACACTGCAACTGTCATATATATGATCCAGTTGCCAATCATCTGAATTTTGGTCCCGTGATGATGGGGATGCTGCAACAGTCATAAGTTTGAAAAACAGTCACAACTCACTTTTTTAGTGCTATTGTAATTTTGAATAACTATTTGAAATAAACTGTTGTAAGTTGAGGACTACCTGTAATATAAATATGGTCATGTGTTCCACCCTTGCAAGTGGAAAAAAACTAAATACAGAAGCATGGCTTTGAAGATGTAGACAAGAATACACAGGGACAAAAGGATGCCATTGTGCTGTAGGAATTTAGGGAGGGGGGTTGATATGCACAATTAGATTCATATAATATGTTAGTAAACATCTCTCAAACTTTAAGGAGTTCAAGTTTTTTTGAGAGAAATTCTTGGCTTCTTTTGGGGTTTTCAGTCTTTTGTTCCTAAGTATGCTTATTCCTAAATATGCCTGTATGCTGTGAAGTGGGGTAAGAGTTCAAAAAGAGAAAAAAAAATTACTGGTTTAAAAAAAATGCTTTTGTAGCACATATTTCTTCCTTGCCGGCGCCAAAGGGCAGTGTATAAGAGTCGATTTTCCTGTGGGTGTTCAGAAGTGGGCGGGCTAAGCCCTTGTTTATGTTCTGAGTGACTGATGAGCAAAGGGCACGCATGTTTCTGCTGCAAGTTGCTGTGGAAAGCAATTTTAAAAAACAAAAACTGACCATAGTAGCAGAATAAGTTTATTATTTCTGTTTCATATAATCAACTTGGAGAAAATGTAGCAAAAATGGTGCATAATAAAATAATAAAGCAAAGAGAGGGAGACTTAGGAATCTGAGGAGGTGGTGGAAAAATAAGGGAGCAGGTTTTGCCAGCACTTTGCAGTGCTAGAGTTGTAGCAAGAGATTTGCTATGCAGTTTACTTTAAAGGGACACTTCTTTTGAGTTGTGTTTAGAAGAAGGTGAACAGTGGAGCAGGAGGGGGGCTGTGTAAGCAGGATTCTGTGCTATAACTCTTCTGTTTCAAGTAAACAGACCATTGCAGCCTCCCCTCTTCCCTTCCTCCATTCCCTCCTCCCTTTTTCAACATTGCTCATGTGTTTTCTATTTAAGGGCTGCAGCGAGAGGCAAATATGATTGGCGTCCACAACCCTCTTTTGCCTGTCTCAAGCCTGTAAAAAGCAAGCAGGAGCTCAGTCTATAAGGGGAAGAAATTGCGAACTAGACTGTTCTGTTTTTTTTATCCCATTTTATCGGAGCAGCCCTGGCTTTCCTTTTTTTTCGCCCTTTTATGTTGGCTGTGATTGGGATGGATTTTTCTCTCTGAATAGGAATGAGTATGGTGTGGAACCATGTTGGAAAGAGGTTTATTTTCAAACTCCATCCTGCATTTTAATGTCTGCATTATGCTGTTGTGTTAAACACTTGAGTGTGGGTCTTTGTTTTGTTTTGTTTTTTGTCTCTTCCTCAGTCATTCTCCAATGTTCCTCTGTTCTGTTGAGCTGTGGGCCAGAGGAAACTACTCCTTTATGGCCAGCCATTTGGGGATACGCTGTGAGCCACAGTTGTGTTCTGATTGGCTTGGCCTTGGTGACAAGTCAGCCTATCCTGAGTCGGATGGACAGAGGTGATTTTTCAAGGAGCCATGGCTGGAAGCTGGCTCACAGCTTGCTTTTTCCCTTCTCCAGGTGCTGACGCTAGCTCTGAACCTATGATCCTGGAGCAGTATGTGGTGGTATCTAACTATGAGAAACAGGAGAACTCGGAGATCAGCCTGCAGGCCGGCGAAGTGGTGGATGTAATAGAGAAGAATGAAAGTGGTAAGATGTTACTTTTTTGAAAATTCATATTTCTCTTTCTTAACCCTCTCTATTCTCCACAGCCTCATCAGTCTTCCTGAATTTTTCTGCATTGCATGTAGATTTCTCTCTCCTGCACCATTTGATTTGGGCTAGGGCCAGATTTTCTATTCTAACAACCTCTCCTCGGCTTTTCCTTAATTACTCAATGTACTTTAATGGAAAACTTTGGGGATGTGGGGAAGAAGAGAATCCATAATGTATGTAATGTATCTATTAGTATTATATAGTTGCTCTACTGGAGAAAATGTCACTATTTCCATTTCTTCCCACTGTTTTGAAAGATTTATTGTATGAGCTGCTTTAGAACAATTGACTCTAGGGGTAAAAATTTTTCATGGTAACTCCACCTTTGTCAGTCACAGAACAGGGGGAAAGGTGGACTGTTATAGATTATATGGCATGAAAGATTTAAAATACATTTTAAGAGCTGTGTATTGTGACATTTTTAATGTAATTCATAGTAAAGTAGTACATGTATGCTGTATGCTAATTAGCAAAGAGCAATTGATCTTCATTGAAGAATTATTTATGTTGGAATGAAATGAAAAAGCAACAAAGTATTGTTTAGCAGTGATAGGAATTGCAGGTCAAACATCTGGACAGCATCAGGTTGGGGAAGACTGATCTTTAATGTTAAATACAATTCAAATTGAAACATTTTAACAAGAGACAGGTCTGATTAGAGCACCTCCTTCTACTCTGTGATGAATAATGTATCTTTTGTTTTATGTACACTGAGAGTGTATGCACCAAGACATATTCCTTGTGTATCCAATCACACTTGGCCAATAAAGAATTCTATTCTATTCTATAATATCTGATCACAGTTCAAAATAGATAAAACATATAGATATAGATTTGGGGGTTGGGTATGTGTATAGATTTGTTTTCCATTTGGCTTTTGCCACATGGGGTTGGATCCTTTTATGAAACAATTTAAAATCATCTAGGTAAACTACAATTATCTTTCTAAATTGGAATATGTTTATATTGTAGATTGATTGAAGGTGCTGTCCTATATTCTGTGGATTCAGCTTAAGTTTCATATAAAGAAACAGTATTGTAATACTTAAGAAATCTACATACTGAAAAGACTTAAATCAACTGTACATGAATGTCAATAATTCTACCATTTACTTATGGAAGAAATACAAAAACTGAGGTGGTTATGGAACGTCTGGTAAATTGCATTTTCACTGATCCAAATATTCTATATCATCCTTTGAGAATCCTTTACTATGGACAAAAAGTTCATGAACCCCTTATTTCTGTAGTGTTCATTGGATGTTATGACGTAAATGCAGACACACTGGATAGCCTTATGCATCTTCTTCCATGAGTTACTGTGAAAGGCTAAATGAGACTGTCAGCTGAATATGTAACTTTCAGGGGTAAGAAAAGAAATAGGGCTATGGCTTCTGAGGTGCCCCTTGTTCAGGAGTATAGCATGGAATGATAGATTCACATAGAATATTTCTCAACTGGAATTCTTGTCAAGAGTATGGAATGCTGTGAAATAGAAATAAATAATTATTTAAATTAATTTTTTTGGACGGCTATATTCAGGAATAAAACATGGCTCCAATTACTGCTTGTGAATCACAAGAAAAGCAAGAGAAAACATAGAAATTCTTTAAATGCATATAATTAAGGTTCCAATTGAAGGACAGGGAGCCAGGTGAGTGGGTGAGACAGTAATTTGAAAGAGAATAATGTGATATACATGGAAGGACTCATGATGAAGAGCAGATGAAGAATATATCCAGGAAAACAACAGGCATTCCATTAGAATGGACATCTGGCAGCCAACTGGGCATTTGCAGAAACTTCCTTGTCTTTTTCTCTTCTTCCTGTATTGATTATTTACCTTCAGACATAACAAGAATTGGGAGGTCCAGAATAACACAAACTGAGTTTTGAACCTTAGCCGTTCAGAACCACACTTTTAAAAATAATTTGGAACATGAAATAATATTATGAAAAAATATAGAGTTGGAATTTTATTTTCCTTTGATTTGGGAGCAATGATTCAACATTTTTGGTAACTGTATTAAGCCAAACAAAGGCTTACATGCCAATTTTTATTGTTTGCTTCTAGGAGATTTGCTACTAAATTCTAGAGGCATATACACATACCTGGCTTTTGAAAGCAGTGTAATTTCCTATGTAATTTCCCATAAATCAATAGATTTACTACTACTGTTGCTGAAACATATATGATTACTTGTAAGTTCCTTATGGGAGATAAGAATAGGTATAAATCTTTTCTGTACTTATAGGTTTCTTATATGATCTTTTCTTAGACTAAAATAAATTAAATATCATCAAACAGTTATTTAAGTACTTCTGTTGCATCTTTTATAGTTTGCTTTATCTTTTGTGGAACATTTTTGGGGAAGAGTACATACTAGTTCTGTGCTTTTGCTTAAAAGACAAAGAAAATAAGTTTGAGGGTATTCATGGTGCTTTTTGTTGTTGTGGCTGCTTTAGAGTTGATAATATACATCTATGAGATGTATAGCCAATGAGTGACATTTGTATGATTCTGCTTTGCAGTCTAATGTATAATTTTTTAATTTAAAACTTTTATACTTCAGTCTGAAATCAAAGAAACTCCCATTGTGTCTACATCCCCTTTCCTAAACAATAGGGTCTTGCCCTCAGATTTACAAAATAAAAGACATAAGGGGTTAGGAATTAATTAAGGCAATATGACAAATTTCTTGAGATTGAGGGTTTGCTTTAATTTTTGAAATAAAACTTCTTTCCAATTACATGCAAGTTTGAACTCTGTCTGGGCTAGTCTGTTTCTCCCCCTATTTTTCATTTCATTCCATTCTTGAGATTAAACTGAAATTGTTTCTATTTCCTTTGCTTAGAGAAAAAGCTGAAAAACTCCTCTGGTTGCAATTGGGAAAAAGAGAGTTTGCTATTAAGACAAGGGAGGTGTCAGCTTACTGAACTGTGTCTCCTCTCTATTCAGGGCAATATGGTTTCTCAAAAACTACATCTGGAGGATAGTTGCAGAGACAAATGAGTGGAGAGCTTTTTACACTGAATATCATTTGAAAAGCTCCTTTTTAATCCTTAAATGTTTTTTAGAACATTTCTACTTTGCTGCCAAAGTAGTTTCCCCTACTTCGCTGCCTTTTCATTATATACAGTTGAAACTTTTAAAGGAAAAGTTGGGAATAAATCAGTGACTTTGCCAAATCTGCACTGGATCTACACTGAAATGATAAAGTTATGAAATAATTTATAATAAAAAAATACTAACATAATCTTGGGGGGGGGCTCTGAATGGTTTCTTCAGAAAATCTCCAACTGGGATTTTCTCTTGATGCAATAAAAGCACATTTGGATTGGTAGTTTTTTCTAGTAGCCAAATCATTGTTTTCCTTAAAATATACTGTAATAAGAGTAAATAAATTTATTAACTCAAAGGTAGGTCAATCCGACTTTGACAGGTTTTTGCATGAAACGAGAAGGGAGGGGAGACAAGAGGAGAGGAGAGGACTGTAGGTTTCAATTTTTCATTCCTCTCCCACCCCAATTTGAGAATGGTTTATGATAAGAGCCTTGGTGATGCAGTGGACTAAAGTGCTGTTAAGAAGCACTTAGCTGCCAGCTGCCTGCAATTACTCCGAGTTCAAATATCACCAGGCTCAAGGTTGACTCAGCCTTCCCTCCTTCCGAGGTAGGTAAAATGAGGACCCGGATTGTGGGGGCAATAAGCTGACTTTGTATAAAAAAGAACACCGCTTGGGGGGGGGGTGCGAAAGCCCTACTAAGCAGGTATATACAAAAGTATGAAGGCTATTGCTTAACACATTGTAAGCCGCCCTGAATCTTTGGAGAAGGGCGGCATATAAATCGAGCCAACAAATAAATAAATAAATAAATAATTTTTTACATTGTACTTATTCATTCTTTGTGTGTATGCCTTTGAGTCATTGGTGGCTCCTAGTGACTGCCTGGACATGTCTCTGTAGTTTTCTTGGCCAAATTTCAGAAGTGGCTTGCCCATTGTTTGCTTCTTAGGGCAGAAACAGAGTGACTGGCCCAAGATCATCCAGTTGTCTTTGTTCCTAAGGTGGTACTGAAATTTTTGGTCTTCTATTTTCTAGCCAGGTGCCTTAACCACTATATCAAACTGGCTCCTACTGAAATATTAATTAAACTAATATATATTTGCATGTTTTGATTTATTGTTAGAAAGATCCACCAATATTGTATTTATTTTTTCAGTTTAACAAGTAGACATACCAACACTAAACAGAACTCAGTCTCTATTTGTGTCACTGTTGCTAGGCTTAAAGCACCTTGATAAATGGACATATGCTTATTTAATATGAGCTGTCTCCTTTTACCAATATTTACTAATGGAAAAAATAGGCTTCCTTTCCAATGACCCTTTTGTCATGGGTGTCCATAACTATTTTTTAAAATATCATTTATTCTTCTGGGAGCACCTCATTCCTGTAATAAATTCCATAAATTAGCTGATGATAGATACTGCTGACTCCTTAAATCAGAATTTTAATGATTTTTTAAAATTTTTGTATCCGTTTTACTGTGTATAATTTATCTTATGCATACCTAATGTCTTGTGAATCTGCAGTGAATACAAAACCTTTAAGCTGAAGTTCTAACATGCCTAAACTTTTCTTATATTTGTAAAATTGTGATTGATGTATTTGTGTAATGCACACTTGGCCTAGCTGAAATGTAATGATTGCAATATAAAATTGGTAGTGATTTTTCTGCCTTATTGTTCAAGCTTCCCACGTAGTTGAAACCTATATGGTTAGAATGTTGATATTTCAGACTAACTTTTGGAAAGATTAGGCCACCTGTGTGTTTTCTCTTTTGATTGCTTTTTTTCCCTGGCAGAAGGGATTTCCAATAGGATAAATTTCATTTGGAACCAATTGCTAAATCTCATCTCACATCTTTTC